CTGTGGGTGAGGAGGTTAAAGCGAGTGAGCGTCGTCAAAAGTAGTGCATATCGTCTTCTAATTATGAGCCTGAGCCCAATTTGAACCCAACAATTTTTAATACGTGGGTCGTTATATAACTGACGACCCACGTATTAAACTACGTATTAAAAACTGACTCAACTAACTTACTTTATACTTTCTCTCGCTTGCAACATTTATGTTTTGTACAGCTGCCGCCCGCAAACAGACTTTTTTTTTCTGTACCTCCAAATACTTTCAAGTTAGCCTACGTGTCGCCATCATACACATCAGCATAAATGCTCCTGATAAACTATTTGTTATTAAAGCATTAACACACAAACCACTGTTATGACATAAAAGCAAGCAGGCTATACACTCGGCCATCAGATCTAGTCCCGCGCCGCGTTGGGAGTGCACGTCTCTAATCAAAGAATCTAAGCTCTAATGATCATGTTAAAGTATGTCTGAATTTCCACCACATCTGTTTTTGAATCAACTGTTGAATTGTAGATTAGGCTACTGTCGACGCCGACGGTGTGTCTCCCTCCAAGCAATTTACTAGTGTTGCCATAGGGACGCTTCGGCTTTTGCCACCCGGAAGAACGTCTATTATTGTTTTGACGTCATGGTGAATTGTCGTATACAGAACCGTTTTTAAAGGTTTAATAACAAGAACCCTTTAGGGTTCTTTGTAACCAGGAAAAAGGTTCTATATGGAACATTATCATGGAACACCCCATTCATTATCATTGTTTTTGTCCTTTCCAGATTAAATATTTAAAATTATTGACAAACATCAAGACCCTAACATGCATTTATGAATGCATGTGAATGATCAAAATATTCAAGATATGGGGGTTAGAAAATGTATATTTATATCATTTTATGTAGTTAATCAATATATCACACGAAGAGAGCCATTTCAGTTTTTTAATTACAACTACAAAATGTTGCAGAATAATGTAATATATGAATGAATAATAGCCTATAAAGAAGCTTTGTGGCAAAAGGGTTCTTTCTTGTCATTAGAGAACCTTTTTAGCATAAAAGGAGTTGAGGAAAGAACCCTATGCTTCATGTATAGAACTTCAATGAATCCTTTTTTCTAAGAGTGTAGGCTTTGCATACTTAGCATGTGTAATTCCTTTTAGGATTTATTGCACCATTGGCCACTATATTTTAACTATGAGAGTGAATCATGTATAAAAGTTTATATCAGTGCTCTGTACACGTGTGGATGGTAGTGTTCATGTTCTGACAAAACTCAGCCTTGAAGGGATATAGCCTGTGTTTAATCCAATTGTGTTTGCAGTGGTTATTTATTATTTTTATTGAGAGAAGCATGTGACCATGCCAAAGGAATCGTCTTTTGACTCCTATGACACACCAGTGACCCTGAAAATTTCTTATGTATATGGGACAGAGTGCGACAAAGATAATGGCCCTCATTTATCAATCTTGCGTAGAAACGGGTGTATATTTTGGTGTAAGATTATACTTACACTCCTCTCACCGCCTGATTTATGAAGATGTGCGTACCTTTGAAATCCAGGTGTACGCAATGCCTGCCCTTGATAAATCCCGTGGCAGAAAACGATCATCATTAGAATAACACGCCCCTAAATATTCAAGTCTCCGCTCCCCCCACGCCCTCATTTTACGCCATGGACACACGGAAGACGGCAAAGAAGAGAAACTTCTCTGACGTGATGCCGAAATGACCTATCACATTGCATTATTTTACAACACATCTTTTGAATTAGCATTCAATTTAGAATCACTTCACATGTATTGGGGTGTACAATAGTGATGATGATGATGTGATGTGGAGTACCATTCATTCACACTAATAATTGCATGACAATTTGCAATATTCTTCTTCTTATTAGGCCTATTATGATTTGTATTATTAATGGCGCTTCCCAGATAGCAAACTGACATTGAATCAACGTGGAAATATGACATCGAAACAACGTTGATCTGACATTGTTTTGCTCATCGAATTAACGTTGAACCAACGTCAGACGCGTCATTCTTTCAAAACTAACGGAAAATCAACTTGAAATCAACGCGTTGTTTCAACGTTATGAAAGCAAACCAATTTTCGATTTTCATTTAGCTTTGAAGAATGCCGCGTCTGACGTTGGTTCAACGTTAATTCGATGAGCAAAATCAACGTTGTTTCAATGTCATGAGAGACGTCGTTTCCACGTTGATTCAATGTCAGTTTGCTGTCTGGGTTGTTATTTAGAAGAAGAATGTCGTTATTATTATTATTTGTATTATAATTATATGTAAAAGAAGAGGAATGTATTTTTTTATTATTTTGTCAGTCTGAATTATTTTTTGGTCATTGAAAGCCTTTCATTACCGAACCGTGTCCGTGCGCACCTGCCGGGATAATCCTGAAACGGCAGAGTAAAGTCCACAGGCTCGCAACTGAAGGAATGCTTACAAATCAAATGCCTTGGTAAAGTCTCACAAATTAAACAATTGTCCATGTTGCACAAAAATAAATACTGAAGTTTATAAATACTATTTTGTTGTTTTTTACACTGGGTCATAATATATCATATATTTTAGTTTGTCAGTGCGTTTTGTGGTGTTAGGAATTTTTCTGCGCATTTCCGCACTAACTTAAAACGTGCGTACACCACCTCCTGAGCTGGTGTAGGATTTGAGTGTGCCGTACGCCAACGTCCATATTGATAAATCTCAAAATCACCGTGGTTTTGGGTGTACGCCAGGTGTACGCTGGAAATTTGGTGTACGCACTTTTGATAAATGAGGGCCAATGACTTTAAATGACCTCATTTGCGTAAAGAACACAATAAAATATTTGGATGTTTCTAAAGTTATCTGTACTATTTATCTGTACGGAACCTGTAGAAATAACGTGATTATCCATATGACTATAGGGGCTTTCGCAACGGAGGAACCTTTTCATAGTTCCTATAACTATCGGTGGAAGTCCCGGATTTTGGTGTATTCGCACCACAGGAACTAGGAACGATTTTAGTTCTAGGAACTAAACCAAGTTCCTGTAACTACTTGGTCGGAAAGCGGCTTATGTATTTCTGCTCATTTAGCAACACTCAACATCAACCACACGGCATACGCTAATACCTTTCCATATACTGTCTACCTTCTACATATTAGACAGGACTGTTAGACAGATCGTAAACTAATGAACATGGAGAGAGCACTGTGAGCTCAGGCTTTGGTGTTCTCAGAACCATCAAAATAAAGGTCACGCTCACGCCACCTTTATTTTAACACGCCACGTAAAAATAAAAGTCATGCAGTCAAGCATGGCTTACTTCAGAGTTCCTACTGGTGGTGCGAATGCAACCAGAAAAACGTTCCAAGGGAAACCATTGTTCTAGGTTAACCATCCTAGTGGCTAGTTTCTAGAACTAAGTTCCTAGAACTACCCGGTGCGAAAGCCTTAAATTAGTTCGAGGCTGGATCATCTTACTCCTACTACAGCCTTTGGAAGTGTGGAGAACTTTGACTTCAAAACTCTCTGTCAACTGATGTCAGCTTTGACTACTGGTCTTCATTAAGCATATTGGTCTCTTTATGTGTTAAATTGGAAAAAAATGGAAAATTGGAATAAATTGAGGAAAGAATGCATGTTGATGATCATTTAGATTAGCTTTTTAGGTCGGATAGAATCTGCAATCTCTGACCCAGTTCGTTTGCAAAATGCTGTGTTTCCACCTACTGGCTACCCAGGGTGTCGAAATACTATTGGGCAAATTGGCAGTGGGCGGAATCACACCGACCAAAACAAAAACAGACTTTCAAACACAGAACACATATTTCAAAGTAAAAAAAAAAAACTGGCTGTAGCATTGTTTTTCAGAGAAACATTATGTGGACTTAACAAGTTTCCTAAATATCTACAAACATATTATGGTATTTTCATGCTTTAGCAAAGTCAAAAAGAATTACATAGAGCACCTTTAAGTAGCTTATTACAAACAGCAGCCAATCAGCAAACAGGAAGCATTCTTATTCATTATTCCAACGGAAGGCATCACTTATGTTGAAAGCGAACTGATTGCGCAACCTGATGTTCGAGACAAAATACAGACATCCCAAGTCTCACGGAAGTTCCGGAAGTCTCCCGCATATTGACAGCGGTTCCCTGATGCCTGCAAATTAGTTCAAAGCGGCAAGGGAGAGAGACCTTGCGTGTGTGCCTCTTGAAGCGCATGCAAGACAGAGAGCATCATGATTGGCCTGTTTCAACCCATCACCAGTAAACAATCCCCATGACGTAAGCAGACAAACTAATCAATAATGACATTCGTTGACAACGATTTTCATAATCAATTATAATCTATTTTATCGATAAATTGTTGCAGCCATTATACGGTCTCATGCGATGTATGCTTAAGACATAACCGACTGTGTTTAGAGGATACTCACCAAGACCGAAATTGACATTATTTTCACATGTTTTTGACTGTTAAAGCGATATAATCTACAAAAAATAACTGTTTCTACCCGCGAGTTGTTTGTGAGGCGGCTTGTATGTGTGCAGAAAACAAACAAAAAAAAAAATCTCTCAAACAGCACGCAAGTAGCCTACCGAATAGTTCAAGATCATGTGAATGTTTAAACTGGTAAGACTGAAAAAGACGTGCAAATGGTAAACTTTAGTTAATCATGATGCAATGCTTGCCCGATTATGCAAATGACAATTCCGTCTATTCCGTGAGACGAGAGAGAGAAGACACAACACCGCTGAATCACTCATGTGGTTTGTGAAATTGCATCTCGCAGAAAGTTTTGAAATGACTGATTTGATTTTATAATCTGTGTGGATTCGTTTAGTAATACAACCTACATGCTAAAGTGAGTCAATGTTTGCAGTAATTTCCCGCATTATAAGTGGGAGACCTGCGGGAATGATTCAAATTATGCACAACCCCACGCCGAAATTTGAGCCTTGCATGTCAATTGATTATAGACAAATTAATACTTACCTATCAATAAACTGGTCAATCAAAACAATGTCCCCAGGCTGGATGTCCTCTCTGAGAGAACCGCATGCTGTGGTGACTAGCAGGTGAGTGCAGCCCTCTTCCTTCAATGCCCAAATATTGGCCTGGTAATTTACATTGGTGGGCATGATGGTGTGTTGTCTCCCATGCCTTGTGGGGGGATAAGACTTTTTAAATTAGACTTTTATCCTTTATAATATAAAACCAGCAGGCATTTCAAGTAAAAGTCAAAGTACGTGTAATCACCTTGCAAGAAGAACACATTCAACATTCTTTATTTTGCCCAAAATTAGCGCATCAGATGGCTGTCAAAAGAGAGGAGGAAATGAGTGTCAATACTGTATGTACTTCTGGCTCTGCCCATCTGTGATGTACTATGTTTACCCCATGATTTAAAAGCAAAATCCCAATAATTTGTGCTTTTTTCCCCCCAACTTCTCAGTTCAATTCAAGCAAATGGATAAATTCATTTCCAAATATGCTCTCTTATAAACATGCATGTTAGAAAGTACAGCAGACGCGATGCAGAGACACTCACCTTTCCAAATGGTGTGACTACATATCGTTCTGTTCTTCCCTCCAGAATATCTGGATCATCCAGACCAGATCCACCAATTATTCCTATCTATAAGAACATGAGATGCTGTATTATAGACATATCTAAAGGTGGGATGGTGTCTGCAATTGTTTGTTTCAATTAAAGGGGTCATGAAAAGCATGTTTATATTTACTGAGGTGAACTTAAAATGTTAGTATGATTTTTACATTGACAAAAAATGTCATAATTTAGAAATATAAGGCCTGATCTACCATGATTTTAGCCTTCTGATTTGAATGCTCAGTTGGAAGGGGCGTGTCTGCTTTAAGATAATAATGTAAATGCAATGCAACTCGATTTCTGCATTCTCACGAATGCTTTCATGACAACAGTGCATACACTATGTAAATAAGAGATTCATTGTGCAGTGTAGACAGCATCACTGGTTATAATGGGAGTTTTGCATAGACAGTAAAAGAAATGAACACAGCGACCCCATTGAATTCAACGGAGAATATTGAAGCTAGTTAAAAGCTGATAGCCAGTACTGCGCAGGCTCAAACTGAGCCTGTCACGTGAGCAACCTGATTGCAAGCGAGCATCTCCTCCAGTCCATACAGTAATAGGGACTTTAAGCAACAGCTGCTGATAGAACGGCGACGGCAGCCGGAAGTAAACTGTTAACTGCCGTAGCTAAAGAGCATAAAAATCACTAAGCAACAATAAAGAGGATGGCATAGGGGATAATTTAATCATCAGACAAAATACAAAAAGAAAGTGATTTTAAAAAGTAAGAGAAGGGTTGATTTTAGCATTTAATGATCTACAGAAATGATTTCAATGCCACATAACCTAAAACATAACATTAACTGTCATAATCCGTCACGTAGTAACGACTACGGCAAATCAGCTGTTCTCCCGTAGTAGACGGTTACAGTAAAACGTCTCGAAGAAGCAGTTAATGTTGCGCATGCGCTATAGAACGCCAGAATGCCGTTGCCGTTCCACCAGAGGCTGTTGCTTAAAGAGCCTCTATCATGGATTTTTGAAAATGACTGTTCATACCCACTGAGCAAAGTGATGTCCAAAAGACGTCTTTTAAACGTCTTTGTCACAAAAGTCGGACGTTGAAAAGACGTCCACTGAGGGGCCGGAATGAAAGTTTTTATGACGTCTTTTTGTGACGTGTTCTGGACGTCCGGTATAGACGTTAATGGGTCCTTCGGACAAGATTAAAAACTAGTTCAAATGTGGCCATTGTGGACATGTTTTCAACATAACTTATGGCCTCATTTAGACAATTTATACTGTTTCTGGACCAAATAAACACTCTCGGGATGCATTAAATTAAAACTCATGGTTATTTACATTGTTTAGATGTGGTTTAGATGGTGATATTTGTTTCATTTTAAGTCACCATTGTGGTGATGAGTGTTTGCTTTAGTTGGGCTCTTGGTCTCAATTCTTCTTACTTTAGCTTTTCTTTGGCTGTTGTAACTGTTTGCATAACACCATTGATTGTGCAGAGAAAGCCAAGAAAATAAAAGATCATCTGTCTTCAGCTGCTTGTTGATGATGACAAACGCAATGCAAGCATTAAACAACATCTAAACTTCTGTTTTTATATCTAAAATAATTATTCACCTTTTAGAACTGCATTATTTGGACCAGTAACTTTATAATGACCACTGTGTATAATATGTTTTAGGAAAGTGAATCAGATAGTCACACACAAGATATCAAGATTTTGCATATGATTCTCAACGACGGTGACAACCAAAACAAAAAAGCCTGGGAATCGAGGATGTTTTGTACTATGAAAGCTACCCATCATGCATTGCAGCATGAAGCATTTTTTTATTTATTGTCACCATTTTTGTGAATCATATGCAAAATCTTCATTATCTGTGTGTGACTCTATGGTAGATTTTCTCAAAACATTGTGTAAATTTGCTTTTTGTCCAACTTTCATGCTACTAATGCAGTTCCACAACATTGGTGGTTATGAACTCTAGATACAAACACAAAAGTCTAAACACAACGTTAAATGCCTTTATGTTGATTTCATCATCACCATCATCAACAACAACAACAACAACAAGGAGCTTATGAGAGTCAATTTTCTTGGCTTTCTCTGTCACAACAATGGTGTTATTCAAACACACAGTTACAACAGCCAAAGAAAAGCTAGAATACGAATTATTGGGACCAAGAGCCCAACTAAAGCAAACACTGATCACCACAATGGTGACTCAAAATAAAATAAATATCACCATCTAAACAATGTAAGGAACATGTAACATGTAAACATTGAAATAAACTTGAGTTAATTTAATGCATCCTGAGAGTGTTTATTTGGTCAATAAACAGTATAAATTGTCTAAATGAGACCATAAATAATGTTGAAAATGGCCACATTTGAACTAGTTTTTAACCTTGTACGAAGGATCCATTAACATCTTTTTCAGACGTCCAGAACACGTCAAAAAAAGACGTTATAAAAACTTTCATTCCGGCCCCTCAGTGGACGTCTTTTCAACGTCCGACTTTTGTGACAAAGACGTTGAAAAGACGTCTTTTGGACATCATTTTGCTCAGTGGGTATGGTGTGGAATATAGCTCTAAGGGAATGAAAACATCCCGCAAAGATTTATATCTGAAAGTGCAACGTTAAGTTATTGTCTTTCAAAAGTGAGAGTCGAATCTGAGTCTATGAAATGAATTGTTTTTGAAACGATTCATTAGCTGTTACATCGTGACCTAGAGAGGTCATTGGCCGCGCCTATTTACTGCGCGCGCAGACGGTAGTGTAAACTTGAAGTCTACACATTCAAATACTTCATCATAGCATCATGTCGAGAAGACGCTGTGTTCTACACTGCAAAGATAGTTCAGCCACTTCGTATATATATCGTATTTGCAACGATACCACAACAGTATAGCCCGATTGGGTTCTCATCATTTTAATTACGAATCGTTCAAAAACAAATGAATTCAAATGTGGATTCGCAAGCAGTTGTTCCTGAAGGAGGGCTCAGTAACTTACTTACCCAGCGTATATGGCTCAGCTTCCTCCTATGAATCACAACCTGTAAGTATTATTAATAATTGTTGCTTTTATGGGTTTTGAACGGTTTTGTAGCGTTGGGGTCGCGAGGAGGGAAGGCTCAATAAGTATGTGTGTGCGCGCGTGTGTGTGTGTGTGTGTGTGTTACGCTCAGCGCAGCTTCTAGGTCTCCAATGTCAATTTTTTAAATAGGTGAAATGTTTGTCGCTGTTATTGGAGTTGTCATAAGGAAAAGAGCGTCTTGTATCACTGCAGTGCTTTATCAATATGTTTATGCGTTATGCTAACAAACAATAACTAACTGGGTCTATGGCAAGCCGTTTTAGCTTAAATTGTATCCAGTCTTACTCGTCATTATTGCATTTATACCAGTAAGAATTCAATTAGAGAGCTTTACAATTTAATTCCTACTAGTAGCAATTACAATTATAGAGCTCTCTAATTAAATTCTTACTAATAACAATTACTAATAGAGAGCTCTCTAATTCGATTTTTATTAGTAAGAATGCAATTGCAGAGCTCTGCAATTCAATTAGAGAGCTATTTAATGCAATTGTTTCTAGTAAGATTTCAATTAGATAATTTTAGGCTAATATAATTGAAATTTAGCAATGATGGTTATTTTTTCTTTCTCAAAATAAGGTACAAGGATAGATATTTTGATGATCAAATCAAACCTGAGGCACACAGACTGCTCAGTGAAGCACTGGATGTACGAGTGAGGCGGAGACATAGCTCTGGTGAGAAGATAGAGAAACTGTGGCCACACCAAAAGCTCTTCCATCTAGTTGTTTGCAGCAGATGCATGAGGAAATTCTCAAGGACACCAGTGGCAGTGATGCTTACAGCGAAAGTGATTCGGCAGCACCTGAGATAAATCTGTACCTCTCTGAGCCTGTCATCCCAAGATCTGCAGAACCCCCGGTGTATTGGGAGAGGAATAAAGGCCGGTTCCCAACTTTGGCAGAGGTAGCACGAGTCCACCTTAGTGCTCCATCAACGAGTGTGGATACTGGATAGTGAGCGGCTATTCAGTACAGCAGCACACGTTTTGGATGAAAAGAGGAATAGGCTGTCTTCCCAAAATGCAGAAAAACTAATATTTATTATTTATTATTATTTTTTGTATTTATTTTTTTTTTTTTATCAGACTACTCCATTTTGTTCTTTTTTTTTTTAAAATGATTAAAAAATGGTTTTAAATTATTCTATTCTTTTGTTGTTTTTGGAGTTTAAATTATTCCATTTTATTTTTTTCCCCTACAGTCTTAAATTGGACAATTTTTAATTAAACCATAATGAGTTACATCAGACTTATCCATTTCGGATATTGAGACTTATCTATTTTGGAGTTTTAATGTTTCTATTTTATTTTGTTCTCACTTTTAACACTTGGACAATGTTTAAATATACTTCATGAGTTTCATCAAACTACTCTATTTTGTTCTTTCAGTAGTTGAAATGTTTCTATATCATTTTTCCTCTTCAATCTTATATTGGAGAATGTTTAACCTTAATATTAATGTTAAACCTTATTTGTTACATCAGACTTCTCCATGTTAGAGTTTAAGTGTTTCCATTTATTTTATTCTCTTTAACAATGAACAATGTTTAATTAAACCTAATAAGTTGTATGTATGTTGAGTTGTATGTCAAACTATTCCAATTTGTTCTTTTAGGAGTTTAAATGTTGTTTGATTTTTTATTTATTTTGTCCTGCTCAGACTTTTATTGGACGATGTTTATGTTACATCAGACTTCTCCATTTTAGGAGACTAAATGTTTATTTTGTCCTCCACAGTTTTGGACATTGTTTGAATAAACCTTATGGGCTGCATCAAACTGTTCAATTTGTTTATTTGTCTTATATTAAGTCAATTAAGCATCGGAATCGGTATCAGTATCGGCCGATCACCATGACAAGAAATCGGTACTCGGTATCGGCTGCAAAAATCCTGATCGGAGCATCCATAGTGCATACACTATGTAAATAAGAGATTCATTGTGCAGTGTAGACAGCATCACTGGCTATAATGGGAGTTTTGCATAGACAGTAAAATTAGTAACCAAACTCCATCGCACACCTGCGGGTGATAGGTGCGTCGGATAATAAGACCAGACTAGCTAGTCGTTTTAGCAGATAAGGAACTCCCGCACACTATCGTTACTTGCAATTTAAAATTAATGTTTATTCACACACAAAGTTTCGGTCACACGACCTTCAACAAGAGTACTACTGATGAAAGTCGAGTGACCGAAACGTTGCGTGTGAATAAACAACCTGACATCATGACTTTTGCGTAAACATAAGTAAGTCATATATTTATATATACAGGAATAACGTTAAGTCAACGGCGTTCATAATCACGCTGAAAAGCGATTATGCGTCTTGATAGCACGCCAAAAATGGAACTATGAATTGGCGTGTCATACACACGCTACTTCATGAGATCAGTCTGGAATAAACATTAATTTTAAATTGCAAGTAACGATAGTGTGCGGAAGTTCCTTTCTGCATAGACAGTAAAAGAAATGGACACAGGCACCCCATTGAGTTTAACAGAGAATATTGAAGCCTGTTAAAAGCTGATAGCCATCGTACTGCGCAGGCTCAAACTGAGCCTGTCACGTGAGTAACCTGATTGCAAGCGAGCTTCTCCTCCAGTCCATACGGTAATTTCTGTACTGTGTGACAGAGAGTCGATTCGTTATGACGCAATCGTTAGCCTAATTTTACAAACAACTGTTTCTATGGGGCCATAACGTAAGATACAAGGTAATGGAGCATTTTATACATGATTGTCGTGTTCCTTAAGAAATAAATAATGGACAAATTAAGTCTTTGGACGCCTCAGATGTAAAGTTATTCGCTGTCAAAGTGACGCCAAAATGAATGGGAGTCAATGGAATGCTAACAGCAGGTGAATGCTTCAACTTCTGGCTGATGGATTACCCCCTTGGAGTTTTAGTTTAGTCCAGAACAATGATACACTTGTGCTGTATGAATGACAGCTCTAGGGATTATAAAGAAAGCATTCTTTGATTCAATCACAATTTAAACAACAGATTATTTTCACACTAAGAGAAACAAGAACCTTCTGGGAAATGACAGAGGTTATGAAGAAAAAGGGTCAACACGTGTTGAGTACTATATTGACTCTTTGCATATTGAATGTTTTAACTTATGAAATCCTTACCTTTCTTTTACAAAGGGAAACATGTGGGGAAGTATTTTTTTAACAAATACTGAAGTAGCAAACTTAGCGAAATACACAGTTTATGTCACTGCCAAAAAAGAAAAGAAAAAGGAAACAAGAATAGAAACACTCTCGTTGGTCTCTCTGTCATGAACCAGGACAGACAACTATTTAACCGTAAAGAATGTTGTCATATCAGGTTTTCATCATTCTCTAAAGATCGAAGCGGGCTGCTTGGATGGAACGTGCTCTATTCTAATGATTACAACACAGAGATATTATTATAAAGTTTGTGTTAATTTCAGAAGCCAAGTAGCCTATAATGTAACACTTGGTTCTTTCGAGTGTTGACGTGAAAAGTACCACTATTATTTTCTTACATAACTCACTTGTCATATTTCATTACGATATTCAACTTACCTTTATGTGACTGTCCGATGCCATTTCCTTGCAGCAATAAGCTTCAACATCAGCTTCTTACTCTTGCTTGTTTTATGGCGCTGCGCAAGCGAAACAAACGCAGTAGCGCCGCCTACCGTGATTCAACTAAACCCAAGAAATGAAATAATCTCGAACCCCACAAGAGTTGATCCAAGAGAAGATATAATCATACAACTAGTTTAACGCTACTGTTAGACTTTGTGTTATGGGATGGAATTTAAGCACTGCACTGTATTTTTGTTTTTGGTAACACTATAATCCATAAAATGTCTTAGAGAATATGGTGCATGATTTAATCCACTAAAATGGTATCATGATAACTCGTAAATTAAATAATGTAAAAAAAAAAAAAAAGTTTATGAAATAATGTGATGTACGTGTACACAATACAAAATAAAATGTCTCAGTAAACAAAAATTTATTTTGCAACACTGAAAATACATGTGGGCATTACAAGAAGTAATCTTAATTCACCAACAAATTGAGTAGTATACAGTTAAATTGAACATACAAAATCATGAAGGCATTTGCGTTAATCAGTCATGGGTTGATTCCCTGCATCACCCACTGAACTATGATCAGTTCCAGCAGTTGTCTGTTGCTCCATGTCTAGGAAACTGGACTTGAGTGGCTGAGTTTCAGTTTTTGTAGAACTGTTTGCTGTTGTAAAAGTGGAGCTAGCACCACAGATATTACTGGTTGAGGGTTCACTGGAGTCAGCATTGTCACTGTCACTATTAATTGTAATGAGAAGAGGGCTGTGCTTTCCCACCCTACTCTCACTATTATGTCTCTTGCTCTTCTTCTTGTGTTTCTTTTTCTTCTTCTTGTGATGTTTCCTACTGTGACCCTCAGATTTGTCATCTATGCTTGGACTCTTACTTTTCCTCTTGCACCTTTTGTGATGCTTCTTGTTTTTCTTTTTTGCACCATCTTCAGCAGAATCGGTGAAAAAATTACTAGGACTCTTCCTTGAAGGTTCCTCATAATGCTTTGTTTTGTACTTCCTTTTCTTGCCATATTCATCATGCAGTGATGTCTGATGTGAGGAGTTGGAGTTGATTCTAGAATTGCTCCTTGAGCGACTTCTTTCCTGACGCTTGGAGGAGTTGGTTCGAGAATTGCTCCTTGAGCGACTTCTTTCCTGACGGTTGGAGGAGTTGGTTCGAGAATTGCTCCTTGAGCGACTTCTTTCCAGACGGTTGGAGGAGTTGGTTCGAGAATTGCTCCTTGAGCGACTTCTTTCCTGACGGTTGGAGGAGTTGATTCGAGAATTGCTTCTTGAGACACTTCTTTCCTGGCGGTTGGAGGAGTCGATTCTAGAACGGCTGTCATAATGACTTCTGTGCCGACGATTCGAAGAGTTGATTTGGGAATTGCTTCTTGAGTGTCTTCTTTTCTGACCGCTGGAGGAGCCGGACTTGATTCTGTCCTCACGATCCATGCTTCGCCTTCTGCTGTGTGATAGAGAATGAGGGCGATTGTATACCCTTCTATAGTAACTGGTGTAGGATGAGCATGTCTCTGTATAACAACTCCTGTCACTGCTTTGCTGACTATAATGGCTATATGAATGCCAATAACTAGAGGTGTGGCGACTTGTGTCCTTTCCTTGGTTCCGATAATGCTTGCTCTCTTTAGACACTGGGTGCTTCCTGGTACAAGAGGAAGAGTGTGCCCTGTTGCTGTGTGAGGATCCTTCACTAGATCCTGACAGCTCCCTTTCAAGATTCCTTTTATCATATTTATCTTCTTTTCTAAGATGTGTAGAGGTGTCATCAGGTGAGCGAGAGGACCTTGTTGGCCTCCTCGAGGGTCTCTGAGGTACAGTGGGTGACAAATCCGACTCTGAAGTAAAACGAATATGTTGGGGTGCCGGAAGGTTTTGTGGCTCTTCATTCTGCTCAGAATGTTCAGAGTCAGAAGAAAGCTGGACCAGTTCTGGTGTCCTTTCTGCCACTGGCTTAACATAGCTGATAATAACACAGTCTTCATCACTGCCAGAGGAGCCCTCTTCTTCCGCTGCAATAGTGGCAGTATTCCCTGGACGGTCCTGATGTGGCACTGCAGCAACAGACACTACTGCTTCCCCAACACTACTATCAGAGTCTGAGTCCCTCACATGGAAAGGTAATCCCTGAGATAACTCTGAAGAGTAGGATGGCCCTGGGGTCTCATCATCCCATGCTGTTTGGCTTAAAGTCACCGTTGGAGTGGCATAATCCTGGGCTCCTGACACTAAAGAATCACTTTCATCCTCAGAGATGTCAATCACAGATGTTTCTGAACTGCTACTCTGTCTGGAGGGCCGAGGAACGTCATAAACAGCACGCTGGTCATATGCCTCCATGTTGAACGGGGATTGTGCAAAGCTAAGAAACTCATGCAGGAAGTGCTCAGTGTGGGACAGCAAAAAGGGCCGAAGCTCATGTAAAACAGCCTGGTCGTCCAAGTTTTGTCGAGTGATCAGAGTCATGATGATGTGCTGCACTATATTGACAAGGGAACCATGGGTCCCGTACAGAACAGTCAGCTCTCGTCTCAACCAAGGTACAAGCCTGTGGAGACAAGCAGGATTTCTTTTAAAGAACTCTGCGGAGGTCTCCCTGGTACGACCACCATCCTGCACGCTTTGGACTCGCACACCTCTTCTGTACAAGGCTCGTCTAAACTTAATCACTTCTTGTTCATGAAGATTTTGTACAGATCTGCCCTCACTCTCTCTTCTTTGCCTAACTGCCAGCCTCCTTATCATGCTATGGAGATCTCTGCTGTGCCGCTGTGGAAGAGATCCTCTCAGGCCCTCAAATATGACACCATGGTCAGGTGGGGGAGACGTTCTCCTCGGTGCTGGTCGGCGCTCGCCTGTAAGTGTGGTGCGATACCTGAATCTTTGCCCTGCCATGTTGCCAAATGAGCCATTCTCAGTTGGTCGCAGGTCAAACCTCTTGTAGTTATCTTCAGATTTAATGGTGTGATAGATTGAATTAAATGGCTGCTTGCATAAGGGACATTCTGCTTTGTTCTTTGACCACTCATGAATGCAGCAGAAGCAAAACTTATGGAGGCACACATCGAGATATGATATGTTTTTAAAGTGATCCAGGCATATTGGGCACTTTGATTCCGGAGATGCTGCTTTTGATATTGTGTTTAACACAACACCTGATGGGTGCTCCTTCATTTGTGGTGATGCCATTACCTGATGGAAGAAACATTTGAATTATTAGGCTACTTGTACTGTTCTCAGCATTTGCTACATCTGACTAAATGTGCATGTTTAGATAGTTTAAATGACTATAATAATTATAAATGAAAAGGAAAATAATGAATTTGAAATTATTTAGATATTTTAAATACAAAGCCAAAAATGTCAAATTGATACTGTCCTGAAATTCTCTAAAAGAGAACCTTTTTAGGTAGTATATAATTTAAATAAATTCAATTATTTAAAAAAAAAAAACAGCTTCACTGCTTAATATTAGAAAACTTTTGTACGTCAAATTATGAAATATTCTATGAGTAAATATGACTACATACCAATAAATAGCCTAATAATAATTAGTAGTTATGTGATTGTGTTAACTCGCATTACATTACAATACATTTTTTTCTTCTCAGAAATATAAAACTACTTTTTTGATAACGTTACAGCAGAATATAAGAAATACCGAGCAGCATATAACGTTAACGTTAAACAAAACTATACACAACTACTAGCTTTTGTGTTAAACGCAACAAATACATTTCTATAATAAATCTATGAACAACCGAATAATGTAAAACTAATATATCCCTTAAAATATATATATTTTACTTACTCTTCCTTGCATTTGTTTAAATCGGAGCACTTGGATCCTCTGGATTTCACCGTAAGCATCTCACTTAAGTATCCGAAACAAAAAAAGGAGCATTATGACTTGTACCGTTTGATAATTGTAGTAACCTTAATGCATTACAGAATCCACAAAAACATGTAACCTGAAAATAATGTACGTTAACTTACATACTGCCTAACAAACCTGGGCCGGTTCAAAGATCACAACACGATATTCAAAAAGTCTGAAATACATGATATCTGACGGATTTTTGTTGCAACTCCTTTACAGTGAATATAAAAAGCGCTTAATAAGAACCCCAAATGACCCAACTTCTCAGTCGGTCTTGGTCTACATAAGCAATGTTGATAATGACGTATGAAAAGACCATCTCGGAAGTGAAATCCGTCTTTTAGAACTTCCTGTTTTTCACAACAAAATAAAAGCACATCAACCAAGCGTAAGAAAAACGTTCATGTTTTTAATTTCAAAATACTAAAATGCTCACAAAAATACTAAAGAATTGTTAACTAAATAACAACGACATTGTGTAGTATATTCTAATTAATAAAAATAACTTACATTTTTCACTACTTAGGAAAATCTATTTCATTTGAGTTTCTCCTTAAAAAAATATCATGTCTAACTTGAGTCCTTGTCTTGTTAAAGAATGTTGCTCTTGACTGTTCATTGTTTTCATCAAAATACTACAATTTCGCAAGTTTTATATATTTTTACAACAATTATATATTTTTAATTAATCAAATTAAATAACCTTAATTTTAATTATCAAAATCTTTATGTAATTTAATTTACAATCAGTACCAGAATATTTATATTCAGGAGTAATCTACCCAAATGGGTGTGTTACTGTGACCTGAAAGCAAAGGAAAAGCACACAGAATTTGTATAATACATTTTATTGACATAGTATACACTCAAACATGTTAATTTTACAACCAGTGCAGACAGGATGTTTATACTGAATATAAACTGGCATCTTTAATGATGACCGTGACTCTCTGCTTCAGGAAGACTTGGGACCACTTCTCCTGTTTCCAAAATGGTGTCTCCCTGAAAAACATACATGCACAAAGAAAGATGTGTATGAGGACATTTAGAAACATTAATATGAATGATTATTTGAATGTTAATTTACAAAAAACCTTACTGATTACGTTACCATTTTGCTTTTTCTATGCTTTCAATTATAAATCGCTTTGGATAAAAGAGGCTGCATACTGCATAAATGCAAAAAGTCAATA